TGTCCAAAAGCACACCACAAGTTTCTCCAGGATTTGAATGATTTCTGGAAACAATTTCTGCTGAAAATCTGCCCTTGACCAAGAAGGCAGATGAACTTGACTTTGAAGTAGGCTATCTGCATTTCAAAATGCCGTGCAAGGAGGTGAAAGAGTTTGACAACTATTTATCTACTGTGGCTTTTAGATGAAATTTTATTTTTTTAAGATAATAAATAAATACCCAGCTTATCTTTGTATCAGCTGTGCATCTTCTGACTGCTTTTAACCTACTGAGTCAGAGTTTACAAGTTCCTTCTCCTCACAGACAAGGGGAAAAGCAGCTTTTAGCAAATCTGTGCATTGGAAAATGCTCTGTGCTTCCACTCTGCATGTAGGATAAGTTTATCACTGGCATGCTTCACAAAATGCCCCAGAGTTCAGAGACTCCACTGCATTTTAGAAGGAATTTGTGGGGAAAAATGAACATAAAACTTTAAAAGGTCTCATTTACCAAAATCTAATTCAGCTGTTCATGCACACATTAAAACTTGGAAGAGAAGATTCATGTGGTCCAAGCCTTCACCTCAGAAAATTCAGGATTATTTGCTATGGACTACTTAAAAGTAAAATTATTCCAGAACAGCACAAAGAAACTGTTCCAAGTGGCAGTAACAAAGTTTATACTGAAAAAAGCTATTTTTCTCCAGGTTGCCATTAAGTTGTTAACATGAATTTGCTCAAAGTCACCTTTGGCTATGTGAATACCCACCTGAAGTGAGGAGTCTGATGAAGCCACACCACCTCCATGGAAGCTTCTTGTTAATTATTTTTCTTTTAAAATTAGTTTTATTTTCTTAAGTTATTTTAAATTTATATTTCTCTTTTTACTTATTTATATTTATGTTTTTTTTTTTTGAGATTTTTTTTTTAATTGAGTTACAGTACAAAGCCTCTGCTCTATATGACTCATCAGGGATGTTCTGTTGCTGTTCCCAGTGCTGGTGACCTCCTACCCTACAGCAGCTGATTTTCTACCATGGAAAATCCCAGTAACACTAAAACCAGTGGTGTGGGAGCTCCTGTGAGGAATTCCAAAGGATCTGTGGGCCTGGGCTCACTCCCACTGCAGACAGACCCACAACCAGCCCTAAAGGCTGGCAGAAAGCTGCCCTGGGCACAGTAAATACAGCACAATTCCTTTCATTTTTGGGAATGCTCTGTGTTATTGTTGGAGAGGCAAAGCAGAGTCAAAGCATTCAAAAGGCTCCAGTGTTTGCTAGATTAAACCCAGCCAAAAGGTTACCAGGAAGGTCTGGAAAGTTATAAAAATGAAAGTCAGAGACTCCCAAGCTTTGGCACACTTTCCCAGCAAGGAAGGGAGCTGATCTTGTGGATTCTATCCATGCTTTAAGTCCTCACATCCATGTAGTAAGTCTTGTTTTATTTTCTGAATGGCAAAGCCAAGGAGAAACAGAGTTGTGAAGCTTTTCAGCTGTTCTGAGGTAATGGGAATAATGCATAAAGCAGATTCAACTGTATGAATAGTCTTGCACAATGTATTTATAATTATAAACAGAAGTTTCAAATATCCTCTCCTCCTGCACATTATCCCCAGGGAAATACATTCCAGGGTAAAACATTCATAAATTACTTACTGCGTGTCTTCTGAAGATTCCTGTTTTATCTTTAATGTTCTTTTCGTGGTAGGCATTTCATCTGAAAGGTAAAATTCCAACACATAATTAGATTTTAAATAATGTTCTTAGGGCTTTTTTTTTTTTTAAGAGCTTGAAATTAAATAAAAAATAACTCTGAGTTGCTTCCTAAGCCAGGCAGTCTGCTGGAGTTCTACATGAGACAGCTCCAGCTCCTACACCCTCTGTAATTGATTGAGTTTTTCTTTAACTTGGAAAAGATATGGTCATTTAGGTTTTGAGAGAGATTCAGATCTTTTCATGGACAAGGCTCCAGTCCCATCCATTAAATCACACATTGACAGAATTGCAAACTACATTGTTTCAAGGAAAAAAAAAAAAAAAAGAAAAAGCAATTCTGCTTCTAATGGCACATTTCAAGAGGAAGCAGCAGCAGAACTGCATCTGTGTTCAATTCAGAGCTTTGTGCCAAGTGCTTTGCTCACAACTCCTGAGCGTGAAGGGCATCATCAGCCCCAGCTCACCAAATGTCCCCAAACTGGTGACAAACCAGGAGATCCCAGCTTGACTCACCACAACAAGCCACAGCAGACAGAATTAGCCATCATTTCCATACGTTTTGTAACGTTTTTCTTCTCCCCACTGTTTCTCTCCCACATATTTCTGACTTTTAAATCCCCCAGGGAAGGAGTCTGAGGAACTGGAATGTGGTTAACAGGCAACTTGCAAATTTTAACATTAAACTGAGATCTCAGGCTCTTCCAAAGCATCCTGACTCACCAGTCCCCCAAACACAGATGTGTACAGACACCCAACTGCATCTCCCTCTTTCATCCCAGCCAATAAATGGGGAAAAACAGCCTTTACACAATTCACCTTCATCTCCAGTGGATCTGATCAATTCAAAGCTCCTGCTGTGAAAAAACCCTGCTCAGGGTAAGGGAGGAACACACACCCATAAAAGCAGTAGCTTGAGAGAAATGTGCCTCAAGAAACCCACTTCTTCCCAGAACTGCTCAGATTGGAGTGTGTTTTCTATCAGGGATGTGGTACCCTGATCTGTTTAACAACGTTCAAAAAGCCATGAGCAACAATTAAGCCTCCAAATTAATTTAAAAATTGACTTTTAGGCAGAGATTTTTAGGCAATAATTCAGGAAGAAAAGCATGTGGAAGTTTGGTTTAGGTCTCAAACAACAAGTGTGAATTTGCTTGCTACTTTTTCATTTAAAAAAAGCCACACCTCAGGATATAAATATATTGACATGTTTAATATCAGTGCATCAAGGTAAATAAGAAAGAGCAACATTTTTTACAGTTGTTGGTGTTACCAGCAGCAGGCTGAAGCCCTGTTCACAATTTAAGCAAATGGTGTTTGAATGGTAACACCCAGGTACCACTGAAAGGGAAAATATCTCCTGAATCTCAAGAGGGAAAATAAAACTGGAAGTGAAAGGACAGACAGGGAAAGTGTCATCTCTGCTGTTTCTGGGCAAACAGCCCTTCTTTCTTCCAGTCCTGATCCATGGTTTGCTTTTGATTAAGTGAGGAATTTCTGTCCCTTGTCTCCCCAAGGATGTGTTAAGCACAGTGTGTCACAGACATCTTTTATGAAAAATCTTTTCCTTAGAATTTTTTCTCCTGAGAAGCTGGGAGGCCTCAGGAACAAAATAGAAACATTGGTTATCTGCTGCTGTGGAATGCAACAGGTGCATCTGTGATTGGTCTCATGTGGTTGTTTCTAATTAATGGCCAATCACAGTCCAGCTGTCTGGACTGTCTTGGTCAGTCACAAGCCTTGTTATCATTTTTTTTTCTATTCTTAGCCAGCCTTCTGATGAAATAATTTCTTCTATTCTTTTGGTATAGTTTTAATAAAATACATATCATAAAATAATAAATCAAGCCTTCTGAAACATAGAGTCAACATTCTCATCTCTTCCCTCATCCCCAGAGCCCTGAGAACACGGTCACACACCGTGAGCACATTCTGAGAGGTGAAAGCTGGCACAGATGTGTGTGCCAGACCCCCAGGAGCACAGGTGAAGCCCAGGGAGGCAGAAGTGCCAAGATGGGATTTCTTACCCAGCTCCTGCTCGCCGGTCTGGTAGCAGTGAAGATCCTGGCTGTGGTTTCCCCAGTCCTCCTGAGAGTATTCCTCCATGGTGCTGCCATCTGACTCCAGCTCCTGGTACAGACCACTGCTGTTGATGAGGACGGGCTGGCAGGGCTGGGAGTCCCATCCTCCCTGCCCAAACACCTGCTCCAGCTGCTCAAAGGTGTAGCTGCTTTTCCTCTTGCCCACGCCGTGCTCCTTGACGCGGCTGTAGCACCTGCGGAGGGTCTGAGAGACAGAGGCGGCTCAGTCAGGGCTGTGGGGCTGCACCAGCACACAGGCACTCCCACACACTCACACAGGCACAGTTTAGGGCTTTGGGGGTTATTTCTGTTGGTCATATTTGCCCCACGTTGATGAGCAATGCTCCCAAATTAATGTACACCCACCAGGAAGCATCATATAGATCCAACATTCCCGCTTAGCGTTAACATCCATGACACAGGACAAGTTGTGTAGCAGCTACAGATTCCTCAGATTTAACTTGGATAATTTATTCTCTTTCTTGCTTAAAAAAAATTAAAATAAAAAAAATCCCCAGATCTCCTATGGATGCAGGGGAAAAAAAATAAAATAAAAATACCAAGAGCCCCCCAGTCAGAGACACCAATCAGCCAGGAAAATGCACACCTACTACGAGGAGGAGAAAGCAGAGCTGGTGTTGTGCCCACAGCTTGGAGAGGGGAAAGCAGGGAGGAGAGAGAAAGGAAAACAGAAAGATTTCCCCCAAAAGCAAAGACAGTCCAACCTTCCTTACTCTGGTAAGAAGACACAAGGTACAAAATGGATATGCCTAAGCTATTCAGCTAGGAAAATATTTATTACTTACATAGTTTTGCATTCCTTACTAACTCACTCTGTCTCTTGTGAAGCTGCTGAAATTTAAAAGAGGTCAAATCAATAATGCTCCCAGTTCTCAGACTTTGATATCAAGCATCAAGTAAGTAACAGCACTGAGGTGGCTTGGTAAGAGCTGGGGCAGAACCTCCCACAGATGCCAAAGCCTCACCCAGTTCTGGTGATCCTTTGCCACCCCACATCAAGGGCTAAGCCATTCTCTGCTGCTGGATAAGCCTATGGTTCCATCCATGTTTTCCCCCTAATCTGGAGCAAAACACAACAACTTGGGGGTAAAAAAACTAAAGCTTTCTACACAACCCTCAGTGTGGTTTTAATTCTACCACTGCTCTGATTTTGAAAGACAATTATATGCCCCAGGCTTTCTGGGTCTTGGGTGTTTTTTCAGATTGGTAAACTGCTAGAAAACATTAATTTTTGAAAAATTAAATTTATCAGATTGCTGAGGCTCTGACTTGAATGGCAAAGCTGTCTCCAGAAATCAAGAGAGGCATTAATTTGGGAAGGACTAATCCTGCTCCTTGCTTTCTGCAGGAGGACTGTAATGGACACATCATTACAAAAACTATTTGATTTTTTTTTTCCCCCAAAGAAAGGAACTTTTAAAACTCCAGAAAGCTGGAACCTACCTAATGCTCCTCACACACTGGTTTAACAGCATCAGCAGCAAAGGGATACATTTCTAACCAGTTTCCTCCTGAGATTCAGAGCCCTGGGGGCAGAAGCAAAACCGCTAAGCAGCAAGTCAGTATTACCCTGCTGTTTTAAACAAAAACACACGAAAACAAGACAAAATAAAAAAATAACCCATATAAACACACAGGCAACAACAGGCATGAGTTATTCCACGGTTTAAGGTGGAACCCTTCCCACTTTTGCCATAACTACCTCAGGATAAACAGATAGATCCTCTTTGGATGGACACCAGCACATTTGAATTTCTGTCTGTGAGCAGGGTGGAAAACAACCTGCTGTGCAATCTAGCACCAAAACCCAGCCCAGAAACCTGCTGGTATCTGCTGGTGCAAGGAGGGATCCCTCAGGCTGGGGTATAGATACATTTGATTGTTAGAATTCACCTTTCTCACTCCAATTTCTCTCTGTTCAGCTCAAATCCCACTGACCAATAAGGGCAAAGTCATTTCACTCCCATAACTCTAAAATCCACCCAAGTTAGATTTTTTAAAAATATATTTCCCAGGCCCCAGTTCTTGTACCTGTGCCAGCTTATCCATAGGAGTTAAACATGGATTTAGAGCCTCCAGCTGAATTTATTAGCAGCCTTCAAGTGAAAGGAAATGTTTCCAAAGCATCCCTACGCTTGGCCAAGGCCTCTGGGGATGCCCCACACCCTCAGCCACTCTATTCTCACACCCTATTTTCAGCATGTGCTTCAAACATCTCTCCCCACCAATGGGGTTAAGGAGGATCCCACACTAGGTTGTAGCCTGATAGTAATTAATTATTTCAGTCAGGCTGCAATCTGGCTTATTTTACTATCAAAATAATTTAGCAGCAAGGCAATGCAGACAAGTAGAAAAACTAAAGGGAGCAACACAGGAAAGGGGATGAAAATAAATGAGCAACAGTGTGACTGCTCATGATTGATACTTTTGGGGGTACTGCCCAGATTCTCACCTGGCTGTGTCACCTCTGCTTCTGCAAGCAGATAACCTCAAATTTGAGGGAAATCATCTCAAATATAGGGATTTCCAAACAGCAAAGGGCCTGTGGCTAAGCAGCTGGTGGCTCTTTGGTCTTGTGTGCTGGAGAATCAAGATTCCTGCTAGCTCTTTCTTCTTGGAGGCTCACCCAACAGGCAGCTCCTATAACTTCTCCTGATGTTCCCTCCAAATACCACGAGTCAGTAAATCCACAAGCTTCTCTTCTTCAGAGCCTGGTAAGACCTAAATAATTGCTCAGACCTCAGGAAACCTGGACATTTTATAACCCTCAACCTTTCTCTCACCATTTCATTCTGCCCTCCAAGAGCTAAGATCTGGTTTTTCTTACGCACCTCCTCTACTCCTCCCGGTGTCCAGCTCAACTCCTGCTCCGTGGCTCCTGAAGTGCACACACACAGATTGATACAGATACAGAAAGCAGGAAATGTAGGACAAGGAACTGAAAACAGACCTGATCACTGCCCAGTGACTGCTCAGACTGGAAGAGACCGAGGCTTTTGCTTATTGTTCTGCAACACTGCCTGCAACACGAACACACATTATCCCCACTTAATTTATCATCAGGAAAACCAAAGGAGGAGACAGTCACAAAGCCCATTGGGGGTTTTCTCACCATTTCTAACTCACGAGTCCTCATCTCTACAAGTGAAGCCACCGAAGAACCTGGAGCTCTGCAGGAACTGCAGGATGAGGATGAGAAAAACCTTTAGGAAGGCTGCAGACATGGTCCTCCTCCCAGCACAAAAATAAGATGAGGGAGGACCAGACCACAGCAAGCTTTTTATATATAACCTGAGGTTGTCCAACATGGAATTCCAGATCCCTGATCTGAGACAGGCTCTTACTCAGGGGGAAGCTATGGGCTCTGCAGAGCAGTTTGGTGGCCTGTGGCTGTGTCCACATTTTAAGTTGATTAATTTACAGCAACCTAAAGGGGTCCAGAGCACCACCTAGCACAACACTCAGCTCCAAAAAAGCTCTTTTACTTAAAGCAGAGGAGTTCTCAGCTTTATATCCCAAATAAAGAACAGCAGTGCCAAACAGCTCCCTCCCTCATCACGCCAGGATACTCACAGGAAACACAAGGTGAAACTACACTGGGACAAAAGAAACAGCTTTTGAAGCCAGGAGTGGTTGTAAGGGGCAGTGAAAGGTCTCAAAGCCTCCATTTTTAAGTTCCTGGCAGCAGAAGGTAACAAATCTGTGCAGTAACTTCAGCTCATGAACTTTTAGGTTAAAAGCTATGTGCAAGGCAGGAGAACACAAGACTTACACGGGGTATTGCCTCAACAAGGCCCATTTCTGTGGTTTATCAAAAATAAAATGAGAAGAGCAGCACCTCAAACTCCTGGGAGAGCCACACCCCACTGCAGGAAGGCAGCTGATGACACCAATGCATCTCCAGCATTCCAAACAGGAATATCCCTCTGCAGAGTGTGAGGCCCCAAGAGCTCAGGGTCAGTCCCAGGAGCTGCCACAGCCCAGTCTGCAAAGGCTCTGGCCCCACAGCTGGCTGCACATCTGCACTGTCCCCAAGCACAGCACTGGGACACGGTGGCTGCCACAGTGAATCACTCTCTATGGCAAACAGCAAGGCCTTGGCTGTGTCCTCATTTACCCAAACACTTCCTGAAGGATTTGCCTCAGAGGAAAAGTGATGGGAATGCCCTCACATGAGGGGAGAAGGGTTGGGGGTAAATACAGACAAGCTGATTGTCTTAATTGAGGTAAGCACAGAGCTCTCTTTGGACCATGAAGAAGCCAAGTCACCCTGACAGACACAGGGAGGGGAATATCAGTCGAGGCAGGGCAGATTCAAGTTTTGGTTAGGGAGACCTGAAACTGAACAAGAACTCCCAGCCACCACTGCCAGTTGCTAAATCACAATTAAACATAATAGAAAAGAAACCCAGTTGCTAAATCACAATTAAACATAATAGAAAAGAAACCCCTCCTGCCTGGACAGGAATTATTTACACCAATTTCTAAATCACAATTAAACATAATAGAAAAGAAACTTCTTGCCTGGACAGGAATTATTTACAGAAGCTGCACAGCCCATTGCAGAGGTCAGCCCCCACAGACAGGACTTTGCCAAGAGGGAACGAAGCTGGGGTTTAACAGGCTGTGTCCCATCAGGGTGAGGACAGCAGTGACATGTGGGGCTGTGGGCCCAAATCCACAACCTGGCAAGATGCTCCACTGCTGGCTGCTATCAGAATGCTCAGGAGGATGCTCAGACCCTCAGCAGGGATTTGCTGCTGTTTGAGCCAGACCCCTGGAGAGGAACTCCAGCACTGCCTGCAGGAAGGCGGCCAGCTGGGCACCTCTGGCTCTCAATGCTCCTGCTTTGCTTAAACCAGAACTGGATGAAAAGAATAGGAACAAAGCTGTTCAAGCTTGAGAAGGCAGAGAAGCACAACCAGACCCACCAAGCCAAGGACTCTGTAGAGTTTGGATGTAGTGGGTGGTGCTCCAGACAGAGCTCAGCTTGCAGAGATCACAGAATCACAGAATATCCTGAGTTGTAGGGACCCACCAGGATCATCCAGTCCAGCTCCTGCCCTGCCCAGACACCCCAACAATCCCACCCTGTGTCTCAGGGTGTTGCCCAAATGCTCCTAGAGCTCTTGCAGGGTCAGTGCCATGGCCATTCCCTGGGAAGGCTGTGCAGGTACCCAACCACCCCCTGGGGAAAGAACCTTTTCTGATATCCACCCTAAATGGATGAGATGCCTGAGTGAGCTCCAACCTGCCCTGGCATGACCTGTTCCAACATTACTGACTTTGGAGCAATGAAAGCCACACCTAAGGTCACCTTGCCTTTGGAAACAAACCCATTCCAAAAATCAAACTTGAAGTTGCTGCATCTCTGTGATCAGGACAAACATCATTACACCACTCACAAAACCAGACCTTTAAGAAAAACCCAAACTGCAGCAGCCTGGATGAAAAGAGGTCTGAGATTATTCAAGAAACCACGTCTGTGCCAGCCTTGAGAGATCACAGACTCAAATCCTGCTGGTCCTCAAGTGAATGGAGAGACCACAAGCCCATCCAGCAGAGGAAGAGCAGCACAAATCATTCCATGGGTGGGAGGGAAAACCCTCCTGTCCAAAATGAGCTTCACTGAAGGGCAGAAAGCACCAGCATGGGCAGCACCACAAGGGAAATGGTTTGTGTCATTCACAACTCTAAAAACAGTTCACATCCAACAGTGTCCCAGCTGTGGGTGACCTGAGGTCTCTGTGAAAATGTTAACAAGGAGACCAATCCCTAAATCCGTGGGAAAACTGGAACTGAAATACCAAAAGTGACTCAAACCCCAATTTTCACCACCAGTGGTGCAAGGTTTGGTAACAGGTGAGACCACAGCACCCAGAAAGCTTTGCCTGCTTGGCCCCCAAATTTACACACTCAGCAAGAGGTGAGCAGGAATCTGCCCCTGTGACAGCACTTGAAGCACAGTGAGGATTTTTAACATCTTCCCAAGTCTTCCATGGTCAGAGAGCACTACAGGAGAAAATTGTGTGTGCCCAGTCTAGGATTTAATGTTCCCAAATCTCCCTAAATGAGATTTAATTCTCAAGTTTTGCCAATCTGTCCTCTTGCAATGAGTTTCTGACCCATCAGCTGTTTCTGTCTCAGCAAGACAACCTCCCAGCTCCCTCTGGGAATCATTCTGCACCCATGGAACGAGCAGTGCATGGCCCAGGTACACCTGAATGATCAGACCAGAGTAGAAGCCAGTAGAAGCCACTGGATTGTAAAGACACCAGTCCTGCATGTGCAATTCAGGCCAGATTCTTACCAGCACAACAGCTCTCTGCAGATATCCCAGCTGAGAGCAAATCCAAGAGTGCTCATTCCACAGGACACTCACGTCCCAGAAATGCTCCTCTGCCACAGCCCCACAAAGGACTGAAACAATTCAATCTGAAGGGTTCATTTTTTCCTGCTGTAAATGTCAACAAAAAGTTGCTCCCACCTACCAGAGCACATGAGATCCTCCAGTGAGCAGCTGGGCTGCTGGGAGGGATTCAAGGAATGGCAGCCTGGAAAAGCCAGCACATCTGAATCTATGTAAGCCAAGGGAAGAAGGGGAGGTAACCTGAACACCAACACACATCACAGCCCAGGGAGATAACAGGATGGGGAGCTGGGAGTGAGATAAACTCAAGATAAAGACACCACATTGAAAGGAAATAGAAACCCAGAATCATGGAATTGGGGTGGAAGTGACCTTAAAGCTCATCCTGCTCCAACCCTCTGCCATGGCAGGGACTCCTTCCACCATCCCAGGCTGCTCCAAGCCCTGTCCAGCCTGGCCTTGGACACTTTTAGGGATGGGGCAGCCACAGCTGCTCTGGACAGCCCATGCCAGGGCCTCAGCAGCCTCACAGGAAGAATTGTTTCCCAATATCCCATCTCTCCCTGCCCTGTCCCTGGGAAGACATTCCCACTGGCTCTGCCTTGTAGAAAATCCCTCTCCATCCTTGTCAGCTCAAATCAAAGCTGCTTTGAAGGTGGATGCTTGCCATGAAATGCACCCAGGCTCCATCACTGGACATTTCTGAATCCTCTCATGTCCAGCAGCTCACAGCAAGCATTCCTTCTGCTGGAGCAGCTCTTCCTGCCTTAAAAACAACTCCATGCAAGGTTTACACATTGTTTGCATCACAGAGCAGCTAAAGCCACAGCCCCCTTACAAACAAGCCCCACCATCATGGTGTTTGTGTTGCCTAAAGCAAGAAATACCAACAGCTGGTAGTCAGGTGTGATTTACCATCCCTTCCCATTTCATGTGGGTTTGTGGCACTCCCATCTTTCTGAAGCACTCAACCAGCATCTTCAAGGTATTTCTTTTCCTTCTGAGAGACAAATTACTTTTGTGGACAACCACAACCCAACCAAAACCTCCAGTCACCCATTTGGGAAGAAGAGGAAGTTGTTACACACACAAAAAACCTCAAAAACAGCAGAACTGGATTGGCAGTGACGCTTGGGAATTCCTGCAGTCAGGAGTTAAGATGTTGGAACTGCTGCTCTTGGAATCAA